CAATATCCCGAGTAAGGTAACTCAGACCCAAAAAGATGAATATGGTATGTACTCATTCATAAGTGGATACTAGCTCTAAACAAAAAAATATTGAGCCTATGATCCAAGAGAATAGTAAGGTGAACCCTAAGAAAAACATATATAGCTCCACTTGAAAAGTAGAAACAGACAAGATCACCTGACAAAATTGGGAGTATTGAGGTAGGGAGAGAAGGGAGGATGGAAGGGGAAGAGAAGGGGAGAAAAGAAGGAGTAAGGAGAACTTAAGGGAATGGGATAGTCAAGAAGGAGGAAAGACAGAGAAAAGAGCAAGAAAAGAGATATCTTAATTGAGGGAGCCATTATAGGGTTAGCAAGAAACCTGGCTCTAGAAAAAATCCCAGTAATCCACAAGGATGACCCCATCTAAGACCCTAAGCAATAGAGGAATGAGGGCCTAATCTTTACTTCCTGTAGTCAGACTGATGAATATCTTAAATGTCACCACAGAACCTTTATCCAGCAACTGATGGGAACAGAAACAGAGGCCCACAATGGAGCACTGGAGCAAACACCCAAAGTTCAGGTGAAGAGTGGAAGAAGTGAGACTATAAGCAAAGAGGTCAATATCTTCATGGGTACACCCACTGAAACAGTCTACCTGAGATAATGGGAGCTCACAAACTCTGGCAGGACTGGGAAAAAACAAGCATAGGACCAAACTAGTCCCTCTGAATATGGTTGACAGTTGCATGACTGGGGCAGACTGGCGTGCCACTGGCAGTGGCATTAGGATTTATCCCTATTGCATGTACTGGCCTTTGGGGGAACTTATTCTCTTTGGATGATACCTTGCTCAGCCTACATATAGTAGGGAGGGTCTTGGACCTTCCCCAAAGCAATGTGCCTTACCCTCTCTGAGAATTGGATGGGGGTGGGGTGGAAGGGTATGTAGAGGGTATAGGAGGAGATGAAAGAGTGGGAACTTGGATTGGTATGTATAATGAAAAAAAGATAGTTTGTTTTCTTTTAAAAAAATAAAAGTAGCTGCTTTGGCCAATAGCAGGGCAGAATATAGTCAGGCTGGAAGAGAGGGGGGGGGGGGGGGAGAGAGAGAGAGAGAGAGAGAGAGAGAGAGAGAGAGAGAGAGTAGGCGAAGGCAATGAGATGTCATGTAGCTGTTGAAGGAGATAGATGCTGGAACTTTACCCAGTAAGCCACAACCTTGTGGCATTATTCAGAATAATAGAAATGGGTTGATTTAAGGTGTAAGAGCTAGCTTATAAGAAGCCTAAGCTATTGGCCAAGCCATGTTGTAATTAATATAGTTTCTGTGTGATTATTTTGGATGTAGGCAGCAGGAAAACAAATGAGTAGTTTCTATCTACAAAGCTTATCAAAATTGGACAGAGGAAGAGTTATTGCTTATTAAATACACAACTCACTTTAGGAGGATAAACCTGACTTGCAGGCAGCTAGTTATACTGGTTATACAAAACTGCACAGGAAACTGATGTCACTGACCTTGAACTCTACACTTAAAATGGTTAAGATGTAAAGGTTATATGGACACCTGATTTTCGATAAAGGAGCTAAACGTATACAATGGAAAAAAGAGAGCATCTTCAACAAATTGTGCTGGCAAAACTTGATGTCAATCTGTAGAAGAATGAAAATAGATCCATATCTATCACCATGCACAAAACTCAAGTCCAAATGGATTAAAGACCTCAATATCAGTCTGAACACACTGAACCTGATAGAAGAGAAAGTGGGAAGTACTCTACAACACATGGGCACATGAGACCACTTCCTACGTATAACCCCAGCAGCACAGACATTAAGGGCAACATTGAATAAATGGGACCTCCTGAGAAAGAGAAGCTTCTGTAAAGCAAAGGACACTGTCACTAAGACAAACAGACAACCCACTGACTGAGAGACGATCTTCACCAACCCTGCAACTGACAAAGGTCTGATCTCCAAAATATATAAAGAACTCAAGAAACTAAACTGTAAAAGGATAATCAACCCAATTATAAAATGGGGCACTGAGCTGAGCAAAGAATTCTCAACAGAAGAAGTTCAAATGGCCAAAAGACACTTAAGGTCATGCTCAACTTCCTTAGCAATCAGGGAAATGCAAATCAAGACAACTTTAAGATACCATCTTACACCTGTCAGAATGGCTAAAATAAAAAACACCAATGATAGCCTTTGCTGGAGAGGTTGTGGAGTAAGGGGTACACTCATCCATTGCTGGTGGGAATGCAAACTTGTGCAATCACTTTGGAAAGCAGTGTATCGGTTTCTCTGGAAATTCTGGATCAACCTACCCCTGGACCCAGCAATACCACTCTTGGGAATATACCCAAGAGATGCCCTATCATACAACAAAAGTATATGCTCAACTATGTTCATAGCAGCATTGTTTGTAATAGCCAGAACCTTGAAATAACCTAGATGCCCTTCAATGGAAGAATGGATGAAGAAAGTATGGAATATATACATATTAGAGTACTACTCAGCAGTAAAAAAAAAAACAATAACTTCTTGAATTTTGCATGCAAATGGATGGAAATAGAAAACACTATCCTGAGTGAGGTAAGCCAGACCCAAAAAGAAGAACATGAGATGTACTCACTCATAATTGGTTTCTAGCCATAAACAAAGGACATTGAGCCTATAATTCGTGATCCTAGAGAAGCTAAATAAGAAGGTGAATCCAAAGACAAACACATAGTCATCCTCCTGGATATTAACCTTCATCAGGCAATGAAAGGAGACAGAGACAGTGTCCCACATTGGAGCACCGGACTGAAATCTCAAGGTCCAAATCAGGAGCAGAAGGAGAGAGAGCACGAGCAAGGAACTCAGGACCGCAAGGGGTACACCCACACACTGAGACAATGGGGATGTTCTATCGGGAACTCACCAAGGCCAGCTGGACTGGGTCTGAAAAAGCATGGGATAAAACCGGACTCGCTGAATATAGTGGACAATGAGGACTGCTGAGAAGTCAAAAACAATGGCACTGGGTTTTGATCCTACTGCAGGTACTGGCTTTGTGGGAGCCTAGGCTGTTTGGAGGCTCACCTTACTAGACCTGGATGGAGGTGGGAGGTCCTTGGACTCCCACAGGGCAGGGAACCCTGACTGCTCTTCGGGCTGATGAGGGAGGGGGAGTTGATTGAGGGAGGGAGGAATGGGAGGCGGTGGCGAGGAGGAGAGAGAAATCTTTAATAAATAAATAATAAAAAAAATAAAATGTAATGGTTATATTATGTATATTTTGACACAATCAAAAGACTTAAAATTTCTGCTTTGCCATTATTGTCCCACATAGCACCTAGCGGCTGATTCAGGGACACACTGAGTGATAAGACTATGGTATGGCTGGGGAAGATGATGTTGGAAGCTCCTCGGGAAAAGAAACACCTTTTTGAAACTTGTAACTAATAACTGGTGCATCATATAAACTTATATTTTGCAAGTAATTTATAAAGTAATAAGTAAGACATATAATATAGCAAGGTAATAGATTTGTAAGGTAGGTCAAATGTTACTGATCATAATACAAATCTGACAAAGAGCAACCACAGAAGGACGTCCTAGGGGCAGTAATGAGGCAGCAGAATCAGTGCACACATGGACTGTTACTAATGCCTGTTCTGTCAATGAGCTGTCAGCATACTAGAGAAATTTTTTTTTTCAGCTATTTTTAAAGGTGTTCTAGAACTAGCCAACAGAAACTAGGTATGCAATCATTAAACAATGTTTTCAAAGAGTACTTATTTTGCTCTGGATTCTCTTTGCTCATGTTGTTTCCAAGGGCAGCATCATGTGAAGAACACCATGTGCTTTGCATGGAAATTCTTTACTGCTGATATCAGCTATTTACAGCTGTCTGACCAGAATACAAGGTTGGCTAAGCACACTCATTAAAGGAATGAACTTTGCTGAAGAGAAAAACCACACATGAGTTTTGTGTAAACGGACAGAAGATTGCTCTTAGCAAGGTGAAATTTAATATGACTTCTTATTGTGAATATATGGGTTTTATTATATAATAATTAGTTTTATAATATGTAAATTATATTTACCAAATATTTTTGAATTTTATTTCATCATTTTTCTTTTGTATATATTAAATTAGAGAAGCTATAATGTCACTATTGCAAGTAGCAGTATCTACTATACTCACTATTGTGTATTTTTTTCATCTTGGTGCTCCATTCCTTTCTAACTAATTGGCACACAATTATTCAATTAAGATTCCCACTATCTGAAAGCATATTAGCACTGTCATATGCTTTGGTACTGTTTAATTTATTAGTAATTCCTCTCAAGGTTACACCATAACTTTAGTATCATCTCAGTATAGGGTGCTATGCTATATACCCTAACAAATGAGATTAGTCATGACATATTTCATTAGTAGTGAAATAATGATTTATGTCCACAATGGTGATTTTAGGACAAGCATCACCCAATGAAGAATATGTGGTACTTAATGTCTACTGATGAGTAGATTTTCCAAATACACTGCTCTTTTTTACTATAAATCTACCTAGGGTGGAATATACAACTAGGTAATGACAAAACAGAAAACCACTTCCTCAGACTGCTAGATTTCAAAAAATACTCCACATTTTATAGAGAACCCTAAACACTAGGTAGCTTTAAGGTTTCCCCAGCTAAAATCAAACCAGTGGCAGAGTGAGAATGAAACCCAATATTTTCACAACAGTACATCCTCCATTTTTACTTCCTTGGTTTCATTCCAATTCTAAAATTTCCATGAACTCCAACTCTCAGCTAAGAATGAGGTGAAAGATTCACAATTTCAATGTCAAAATATAAGATCAATTGCTTAGGCAAATGCTTCATACAAGAGGGAAGACCAGGCAGTGTGAATTCTGTAGAATGCTGTTGTATGCCAATCAAATGAAAAACTTCACCTACTCATGCTATTATTAAAAATTATTAGTTTATTTCAGAAGAATTAAATTATAAACAATATGGCACATTCTGAAAGAGCAGAAGGGATGCAAGAAAACAGACCGTGGCAAGGATTAAAGGCTAGGTTGGATGATTTTGAAAAGCCAGATTCCTGGAATAAGGAGTTGGCTCTGGCCTCAAAATCTGGGCAAAATTCTGACGAGGTAGGCATGACTCAGTTGACACCAAGAACAGAAATGTAGGTGCTTTGGGCCAAATAAAATTAATTATTAAATCACTAACTTTCCTCGGCTTGCAGCCAAACAGAGAGCACACGGGGCCTGTGTTCAGCAACCCTGACGACCTTGTTGTACACTGCACAATGGCAGCTGGAGAGCTGAACGGGAGGCAGCCTGTGGTTCCTCACTCACTTCTGGTAGAGAGGAAACAGTCATATAAACTGACGTAAACCCTGTGAAGGTCAAAAGCTGAGGTTAGCTGTAGGAAAATGGCTTTACACTTTCAAAGCACCAGGGTTTTGTTTGTCTGTTTTGTCTATGCCTTTCCCAGGACACTGGCCTGTACATAAATTAACCATTAGCCTGAGGCAGAAGAAGGGTCACAGAAATTAATCACAGTGACAGAAATTTGCACAGCTGGTCATTCATGAAGGCCGACAGAGGAGTATCAAAGCTGGAGAGAAGACATGGAAGGACACCTTTATGACAACTTACACTGTTCCCTTCTTAAAATGCTTTATGTGCTTCGGAAATGTGCATGTGTGGTAGGAAGTTAATGTACAAAAGTCACGTGTTGCAGTCCAGCGTCCCCCAAATGTGAATTGAGTTATTTTCAAAGAGACGATGAAATTCCGAGTGTCCCACAAAATGCGCCTAAAAGAATTCCCTACTTGCAAAGATCTCACAACTACTCTGCAGAACCGCATTAGAGATGGTAGGGATTTTGTTTTCCACTTCATGCTCAGCAGAATGCAACTGTCAGGAAGAAAAGACCAAGTGGTGGTGAGGGTGTGAACAGCAGACTCTTGGGCTGCCCCTAGGAAATGGCAAGAAACTACACACCCTTCCTTGAAATTTAAAACACAGAGCCAGAAAAGTAGTTCAGTGGCTAAAACTGCTTGCTGGACAAGAGTTATGCCTGCAGGTCAACCCCTGGATCCCACAGTGGAAGTAGAAAACTCCCAAAAATTATTCTCTGTCCTCCATCCATGTGTTATGGCAGGAGCGTGCATGCGCACACGCACATACACACACACACACACACACACACACACACACACAAACACCTCAAATAAAAATCTTTTGATTAAAAATATAATTGGTATATGATTTAGCAACTCCATCTTCTCATGCACCCCAAAAGATTGAAAGCAGTGTATATATTCATAGTCTTCAAAGCATGGGTAGCAATGGCCAAAGCATGCAAGAACTCTTAGTGCATGTTAACTGATGTGAGGAGCTAAAAGGACATGGAAAACAGTAAGAATAGCAATCTGCCTTAAAATGGGGGATGGGGAATTCTGACAGACTGTGGCATGGAGGAAACCCAAAGCTATCCTGCTAAGTGAGTCTTGGCGAGATTATAGCAACCACACAAGGGAAAGTATCACATGAGTCCACTTGAATGAGACATCAAGGGCTGTCAGGTTCATAGAGACAAGAAGCAGAATGGTGACTGAGGGAATAGGACAAGGAAAGGTTTTCAAGAGGCACAGGGAGTCAGATTGCAGAAGAAAAAGACTTCTGTGGATGGTGTAAACAATGCTTTGGGTGCCCTCGTTGATGTTTAAAATGGTTACAATGATGTTATCCGCTATACATATTTTAATATAATTCAAACATTTTTCACCCCCAGATGCATGCATTCATTTCTATAGAGAGAGCTATTGCCAATTTCCAGTGATTTTTCTTTTAAAAAAAATGTACTCCTTCTCATTAAATCAGCTTTTGAAATTTAATAATTTGCATAAATTTGCTGTCAAGGGTAATATTTCACACTTTGGCAAAATGTTAATTGGAGAATTTTACAAATTATATTAATACTTACCTTTTCTGTTTTCATATTTATTTTTCAGACCTCTGCAAGAACTGCCAAAAAAAAAGCAGAAAATCAAACTGTTGGACCTATTGAAATAGTAAGCAAAAGCAGAACACAAGTGTGTGCATTAGAAATTGTGGAAATTTACAGTAGCACATGGGATGCTCACATTTGTTTGGTAATTTACAGCCTCTGTGTGGAAAAAAATGGGGAAACAGAAAGGGATTCATCATAGTGACTGTCATAGCCAATTCTCTGTTGTGTGAAGAGACACCAGGACCATGGCAACTCTTATAAAAGAAAGCATTAAACTGGGGGCTTGCTTACAGTTTCAGAGGGTTAGTTCATTGTCTTCATGGCAGGGAACATAGTGGCAGGCAGGTATGGTGCTGGAAAAGTAATTGAGACCTACATCCTGATCCAGAGGCAGAAAGAGAGAGGCGATACTAAGCCTGGTATGGGCTTTTGGAACCTCGAAGCCTACACCTGGTGATATACTTCCTCCAACAAAACCTCACCTCTTGATCCTTCTAATCCTTTGAAACAGCTCTACTCTCTGGTGACTAAACATTCCAATATATGAGACTATGGGGGTTACTCTTATTCAAACCACCACAGTGAGCTTCCAAAATGACAAAAATAAAACTGTCTCGAGGCTTCACAGTAAGAGATAAGAGAAACATGCAGTATCTGCACAGCTTTCCAGCTGCATAAAGTTCTAGATGTGATGGGCATAAATACTACCATAAATGCTCAAGAACAATGACAGTTACACATGATATTCGCTATGTTTGCATTGGAGAAAATTCTAATATATATGCATTAATGTATGTTGCTAGTATACAAATTCTTTTTTAAATGTCTCTTTTTATTTTTTATTCTTTGAGAATATCATATATGTATATAATGAATTTTGATCAAATCAACCTCCAATTTATTCTTCAATTTTTTTTCCAAATCACTTCCTACCATCATTCTCTCCCACCCTCAAGTGCCATTTTATAACAATCCTCTGAGTCCACTTGGTGTTGCCAGTATATGTGGGGATGCAGGACTTTCTATTGTAACATGGGTATCCTCTTATGGCATCATCCCTGAAGACAGCTAACTCTCCGTAGTTTAAAAGTCATCAATTGTCAATGGCTCCTGTTAAGGGTGGGACTTCATGGACCTCTTCTGAATTCATTCTGAGATTTTGTTTGGCTTTATCCTGTGTAGTTTTTGGGCATGCAGTCCCAAAAACTGTGAGTTCATGTGTGCTATAGCCATGTCATATCTGTAAAATGCTACCCTCTGGATGTTAATACTATATTCTTTGAAAATTTTTCTGCTTCTTCTTCCACAAAGATTCCTGAGATTTGGAAAGAGGGAGGATCCTACTTAAAGCTAAGCACTCAGCAGTTTCTTATTCTCATCATATTGATCAGTGGTGGGTTCCTGTATTAATTACGATATACTTTAAAAAAGAAGTTTCTCTAATGAGAGTTAAGAAATGCACTAAATGTATAAATATAGATCTTGGGGACAGTTTAATTCTATATCCATTTATCAGAATTATACTATTAGGTTCTCCCCTAAAGTCTGCAACCTACCAAGCCATTGGATTTTGCCCAATTGACAGTACAAGGCTTGATTTACATTTGTGGAACAGACCTTAAATCCATTCAGAAAGTAGTTGGTTATGCCCATGATGTTTGTGTCACTAATACACCATTAGACATATCTTGCCAAGTCAGTTGTTATTGTAGCTCAGAGGGTTTACATTTGGGTGAAGTTTGCTGATTCTTTTCTCTCCCCATAGCTAGAATAACACCTCCTAGTCAGAAATGATAAAGCTTTTAATGGAACAAAAAGTGGTTAGGGGGGGGTGGTGAGAGTGAGCATAGAAGAGAAAATACTAAGAAGGGATGAGTAGCATAACAACTTTTAAAACACCATATGGACACCTACTACTGTAGAAACTTTTATATGTGTGTATACACACATGTATATATAAACATGCATATGTATATAAGTGTGTAAGTATATATATACTTGTATGTATGTACACACATGCATATATATATATATATATGCACATATAAAAAGAGTTAAAATGAAGTTACCCTACAATAGAGGGACAATCCCTTACTGGATTGGCATAGGCTATCAAATAAAAAGCCTAGTTCCTGGAATTTGGTGCCTCTTTTCGTGTTATTGGTCAATTAAAAAAATTTTATATACAGAGAGAGTTTTTAGTGGAACCCAAACTTACCAGCAGCTGTGAGTCATGAACAGGGTGAGAACAGGGTCTGTGCACAGCCTGGGGATATAGAGATCACTCTAGGGAAAAAACTTGGGAGGCTGGAAAGGTTACAGCAGTGTGCTATGGGTGGGGCAGTCTGGGTGCTGGCTGGAAAGGCAGAAGCAAGAAGTGATGAGTCGTCCTGATAGGTGAGGGAGGGCTTGTACCCACGTTGGGCAGCAGATGTACAGAGATGTACCTTTTTTACATAAGTTTTTAATTTTCAGTTAGTTTATATGGTAAAAAGATCTATTTTAAGATAATATATTTCTTCTGCATTAAAATTTCTGTAGAGGAAATTCTGGAAGGCAATATGACTAAAATGCAATTAAGATTTGGATCCACCTGATCCACATGTGCCTTCTGCAATTTTTCTTCAACCACAGTTAATTTTTTTCAGCTTCAGCTGTTAATTCCCTGAAACTATTTAAGTCTTTGTCACCATCTAAGCTTTTGATTTTTTTTTTTTCGAGACAAGGTTTCTCTGTGGCTTTGAAGCCTGTCCTGGAACTAGCTCTGTAGACCAGGCTGGTCTCGAACTCACAGAGATCCGCCTGTCTCTGCCTCCCGAGTACTGGGATTAAAGGCGTGCGCCACCATCGCCCGGCTAAGCTTTTGTTTAAATGGATTATTAGATAAGGTGTTATCCCAACATCCTATCATAGACTGGAAATGTTTCCTAACAATCTTTGAAAATCATTAAGAGCCCACAATTATTCTCTCCTAATTTGCATCTTTTGTATCCTAATTTCTTGTAAATCTATTTTATAACCTAGGTATTTGGCAGAATCTCCTCTTCATGTTTATAGTAGCAATTTGTAGTCCACATTTAGGCAAAACTTTCTTTACTTCTTTAAACATTATTTTTAAAGTATCTACATTTGAATCATATAGGAATATGTCATCCATGTAATGGTAGACTATAGACTTAGGAAATTGCTTACATATTATTTCCAATGGCTGACTTACAAAGTATTAGCACAGGTGAGGCTATTAAGCATTTCCTGTGGGAGGATGGTCTATTGAAATCTCCTAGTAGCCTGAGAATTATTATAAGTAGGCACTGTGAAGGCAAATTTTTCCCTGTTCTTTTCCTGTAAAGTTATAGTGAGGAAACAATCTTTCAAATCAATAACTATAAGAAGACATCTTTTAGGTAATAGGGAAAGCAAAGGAATTCCAGATAGTAGAGGGCCCATAGGTTGAATTATCTTGTTAACAACTCTTAGATCTGTCCCCATTCTCCATTTTCTAGATTTCTTTTTAACAACAAATACTGGAGAATTCCTGGGCTTGTTGATTCTTCAATATGTTGAGCATCTAGTTGCTCCTGTATAAGCTCTTCTAAAGCCTGCATTTTGTTGTCTGTTAAAAGCCATTGTTTGATCCATACTGTTTTTTCAGTTAAACATTTTAAAGGTAGGGTCTTTGGTGCCTCTGATGGTTTGCTAGTTGCTTTGTGTCCTTGTACTGCCTGAATGGCTGGTGACCATTTTTTTTTATAGTACCTTATAATATCCTTCACAGAAACATTAGTTTTTGGGACTACATGATTGTTAATCTGGGTATTCCATTGCTGTAGCAGGTCACAGCCCCATGAATTCATTATGATATTAGCCACATATGGCCTCAGCCTTCCTCTCTCTCCTTTTGGCCCTTTGCATTCAACCCATTTTGTGCTTTGTTTCACTTAAGATAGGGTTCAAATTCCTAGGAATTGAACATCTGCCTCTTGAAGAGGTCAATTCAGATGCCAAAATTTTGGAGTAATCATAGTGACATCTACACCTGTCTCCAGTAATTCCTCAATTACAATGTCATTTATAAGCACACTTAGCTTTGGTCTTTGATCATTTATAAGCACACTTAGTTTTGGTCTTTGGTCATTTATAGAAGTCTGCCAAAATATGTGTTTCCTATTTCCTACTGGAATTTTTGATTCATCCTCCATGTCTGTTTTAGCATCCAGAACAGTACGGGTTTTTTTTTTATAGCAGGCACTGGATTTTTAAAATTTTCCTAATGAGATATATCCTCCACAGTGACTGGGAATGACTGGACCATGTTTGATGTGGGGGCCTGTGAGAGGTACCCTCAAAGGAGTTTTCTGGTGGTATCGGGTTATTTTATCTGTCTTTTGTTGATCTACATTCATTGGTCCAATATTGGCATTTGCCACATCTACTACATGATCCAGAAGGTTGAGACAGTTTCTGTGTAATTATTTGGGGTCTGGGTAGCTGGGAATAAACAAGCAGCCTCTGTCTACAATTATGGTCCCATTAACCTCCCCCAAACATTAAAGAATATTGGCATTGCTCTTGCTTTCCCTCCAGAAGTTGATACAAAAATCGTATTGCTGAATTCCACATACTTGAGCTATAGGAGAAGTCAAGCTGGTACAAAGAGTTTTAAATAATTATTATATAAATTTTTGTGACAGAAAATATACCAACACATATTTTTTGGAACTATGTACAAAGAATATTGTATTGGTGTTTTAAACAGATATTGCTGATGGAGGAAGGTCATTGACTAATAAAGGAACTGCCTTGGCCCATTTTATTGGTTAGAGGATAGGTGGGAGGAGTAAACAGAACACAACGCTGGGAGGAAGAGGAAGTGAGCTGAGTCTCCACAGCTCTTCTCACGGGAGTAGACGCCTGAGAGAGACGCCATGCCCCGCTCCCGGGATGAAGCTCTGACCCAGGATGGACATAGGCTAGAATCTTCCTGGTAAGTGCACCTTTGGGTGCCATACACAGATGATTAGAAATGGGCTAAATTAATATGTGAGAATTAGCTTAGAAGAGAATGGGCCAAGCAGTGTTTAAATGAATACAGTTTGTGTGTTGTTTTTTCGGGGCATAAGCTAGCCGGGCAGGCAGCTGGGGTGTTGGGGACGCAGCCCCGCCACCCCTAATTACTACATATTGCTCTCCACAGACTCGTGTGTTTGAATGCTTGAACCATTAGGAGGCATGGCCTTGTTGGAGTAAGTGTGGCTTTGTTGGAGGAAGTGTAATATTTGCTCAAGATACAACCAGTGTGGAAGTCTACTGCACATTGCCTATGCTTCCTGCCATGATGATGAATGGATTAAATCTCTGAAACTGTAAGCCAGACCCAATTAAATGGTTTTCTTTATAAGCATTGCCTTGGCCATGGTGTCTCTTTACAGCAATATAACTCTAACTAAGACAGCTGTCATGTATATCTTCTTGCATTCTATCCCCAAACACCAATATCTTCACTTAGTGTCACTGCTATAGTTTGGTTTATGTCAATGTAATAAATGTCATGGCCAAAGCAACAGGGAGAAGAAAGAGTTTATTTCAATTTACATGTATAGTCCATCATCAAGGGAAGCCACTCAGGAGAATAAAGCAGAAGCTTGAAATAGAAACCAGGGAGGAATGTTGCTTACTGGTTTGTTCTCAGACTCATGCTCAGATAACTTATTTAATAGCCCAGACTCAACTGCCTAGGGATGGTAGCACCCACAGTTGACTGGGCCTTCCTTCATTAATTAGCAGTCAAGCAAATCCTCCTACAGGCATGCCTTCAGAGCCTTCCAATGAAGGCAATTCTTCACTTGAGGTCTCTTCTTCCCAAGTGTGTCAAGTTGACAACCAAAATTATCTTTCACAGCAACACACATGAAACAAGTTCTGAGTATTTCAAAATTTAAAATCCTTGGAAGTATCAGAATGTGAAGTACTTTGCCAACAAGGCAATACACCCCAAACATATAAACATGTGGACAACATTAATGGATTTTGTAGTATGTAGAGAGTATGTGTATTTATGCATGTATAGATGGGTGTGTATATGTGGAACAATAATAATTATAGAAGATACTATGAATTCAAGATGGACTTGGAGTGATATGAGTGAGAGGACTTAGTGATGGGAGAGAAAGGGGGAAGAAATGAAATATATCCATATATGAAATTCTCAGAATTTTTAATCTCACTATGGTTGTGCAAGACAGGAACAGACATTTATCTTATCATGTGTAGTGCTGACAAAATGCTAAGACAGTTACTTCATAAATACTGTTGAGCTGTTGCAGAGTGAAGAAAATATGCAGTCTACATACACATAGTATTCACTAAGCCTGCCTGCTGCTCTTCCCATCTAATGCAGCTCAGCATTCCCTTGAATTTTCCTCTCTCAGCATGATGGAAAACTCACCACACAAGTCTCATTGTGGTTTGATTTTAAATTGGTATTGTGGATACTTGTTACAAGACAGAGCATTCCAATGCTTGGCTTTCAAGCATTCCGTCAAGCTACCAATACCCCTGTAAATCATTGTTGACCCTTGTTTACAAGACAGGAATTGTTTGGGGGCAAATTTAATTTGAGAAACTTTTAAAAAAAATCAAACATATAATTACTCACATTTTTATCAGCAGAATGCTTATGGTTAGTGATGGCAGTACACCAATGCTAATAAATGAAAATTTGATGACTGGCTTTTCATTAAGCACTTTAAAATAATCATTCCAAATTTGGAATTATGCCCACATAGGATCTGACATATGTTTTCTTATAGCTTGTATTGCTTGGGCTGATTTGTTTTTCAGCCCTATTTCAAACCTTGTTGTGAATCCTTAAGAGCTAAGATTGCTTGCTTGTTTCCTTTTCACAGTACATATAAGGCATGCCTGTAGTTTTATGAGCAAGTTAATCTTATAATCAGTTGGTGAGGTAACGTTTGTTTCATGGAATGAGCTATTAGCAGTTTTGCTCGAGTTTCACAGCAGTAACATTTCTATGCTTTATTTTCTCAGTTCCGCTTTGCTGATAATCTGGACATTGCACTCACAACACTGGGGATACTAGCATCCATGGTAAATGGAGCCACTGTACCTTTAACGTCTCTGGTTTGAGGAGAAATAAGTGATCATTTTATTAATGGATGCCTACTCCAAACTAACAGAAGTAAGTTCAAGATTTTTTCTTTTACTGGAGACTCAAACACATTAAAGTAGTCAAACATTAATCTTATAGATCATTATAAAACAATATTTGTATAATAAACTTAAGTCTATGTTATTTGGTACTAAATAACCAAAGTCTGTATTAGTGCTCTTGAGAAAAACACCAATAAGATGTGTGTCTGCAAAATTATATAAGGGTGGTGGAAAGAAAGAGAAAAGGAGAAAGGAAGAGAGAGGAGCGAGGACAAGAGAAAGTGGTGGTAGAAATGGACAAAAAGGAAGAAAAGAGGAGAGGGAATAAAAAGAGATAGAGGAGAAAAAGAGGAGAGGAGGGAGAAAAAACTGCTTTATGGGACTATGGAAACATGCACCTACAGACACATGTGTGAATACACACACACACACACACAAAGTGCATGCAAAAATGAGGGGGATGCTGCAGGTGTTCAGGCAGTGAAGTGAACCTGCAAAGAGATTAGAATGAAAACCCAGTTCATATTGATTTCATCAACCTCAATCAGACTTTGGGGAATTCAGGTTGTTCTCATATTTGAAACAGAGTAAAGCTTGGGGAAAAGTTTCCGGGCAACAATCATTCCAATTCCAGATGCACAATAAAGTTTAGGTATGACTAATTAGAAACTCCTTTACAAAGACCAAGAGGATGGGTTCTCTAGCTAAAGATAAAGGTCTAAGATGAGAGAGTCTGGGAGAGACATTCTGGGGCATTTGAGTGAGGTCTGCCTCTATATCAAAAAGTGGATGAGTTCTGGCACCACAGATAGCAAAAAGGTCACTCCATCATTAACAATATCCACTCCCAGTTCTCTGGGCAGGAAACAGGTATTTTATATCCTCCATTGAGGAGGGATCCCTGTATGGTTAACATTCCTGGTTTCCCTAGTGATCTGTGATCAAGAAGACACCTGTGCCCCATCACAAAGACATTTACATTTTAGTGATATAAGCTAAAATTCTTTTGTTGTGCATACTGATTCATCAGTTCACTGAGTAGATATTTTCTGACTGTCAGTCCTCAGTGAGGGAATGGTAAACCCAGCAGCCTAAGACTGTCTTCCTAGTAGTATTTATTTGGGTTGATGTATTCTATAATTGTCTTACTTGCTGTGGTGCTTTGAATGAGAATGGCCCCCATAGGCTTATATATTTGATTCCTTGGTTACCTGTTTGTTGCGGGAGGTCCTTCCCTTCCTCCAGCCAATAGCCGCTGAGATACCAGCCCATTGGGGCATCGTCTCTCTCCCTTTAAAAAAGCGGCTACTTCCCTTCTCGCTCTCTTTGCTTCCTGCTCTGTTTCCAGCAACTAGACTCCTTCCTGATTGCGCAGAGGGCTGTTGTCTGGGATGGTGATCTGTAAGTTTTTTCCCATTTAAATAGATACCACCCTATTAATCATAATTCCAAACTGGTGTGGGATTGTTTATGACTTATGCCTTCATCTAGTGCCCAACGTTTGGTTTTAGGACCCCTCCATCCCCCACTCAGCTGCCTGCCACCAGCTCAGCTTGGCCCAAGCCCTTCCTCCCTCAGCCACTGCCTGTGCCTTGTGGCCTGTGCCTTGTGCGTGAAGCCAGCTTTTCTTGCTGCAGTTCTTTATATTTTCCCTTTAGACACCTCAGATTGACTTCAAGTCCCCATGCACCCTATCGTTTGCCTCCCCATGTGGATCTAAACTCTACAGTTCCACCGTAGTCTCTGCCCGCATGGTTTGCTCTTTTCTGAGTCATTTTTAAATCTCCCTTGCAAGCACAGCACTTGAGTGGCACAAACCAGAGAGCAAGCAGTTGCCAAAAGCTACAACCCCTCGGGGCGATTCTGTCATGTGGAGGCATAAGCGGCTTCCAGGTTGCTCTTCTCTACCCCTGGATTCTGGGTTTCTGGTTCCATCTATGGAATTGATTTAATTACATTTACTTTGTTGAGAAACTCGCATTTTCCAGTTTTTAACATCTACTAAGGCAGACACTGAAACAGGACCCCATTTTCATCGTGACTCGGCAACAGAGCCACCTGCTGGATAATAGGTAATATGGCAGTTTTCGTTTCTAACACAGATTTTACTGCTTTGTTTTTATTAATACAATGGATTAGTAAATTTGTATTTACTAATGGTTATGGGGATACCTTAATTTGCTTGTTATTAGGTTTCAGTTTTCTTTTCCATATTCTATCATTAAGGAAGAATATGGCACTCCTAAGAACAATAGAATCTTTACGAACTAATAATGAACAGATAATTGATAGGATTAAAATTATTGAAAATCAGAGATTATCTGAATAAGTGGATACCATGACAGACAAAATTGACTCCATATCCAAGGGTACTAGAAAGTGACCTGAAAGGGTTCAGGCTGTTGAATTTGACGTTCAGATTTTATCGCAAAGTTTTGATAAGGTAACAGACAGAATGTACCTCCAAGATGGGAATCTACATGATATACAAAAAAAGTTTAATGAGGACATGTTATCTTTGAAGGAAAAAATTAAAGCTTTGGAATTACAGGTGCAGAATGGGGACCAAAAAATTGATACCTCAGTGAAATCACTGGAAACATATACAGGTCAGGAGAATCAGGATTTAAGAGAGACAATGATAAAAAGATTTGAAAAGATTGGAGAAATTATTGGAACTGGTGAACAGAGTAAGGAGGCACAACAACAGGATACAATGCCTCCACCAGCTATTAGAAATGGCTTACCCAGGGTTTTAGCGACATACTCTATACTTAATTCTGACAAAGCATCAACTTCTAAAGGCTCAAAGGGAGTCAAAGAAGCTAGATGGATGCCAATAGCAGTGAATGATCTGAAAGAAATTAAGCAAGCTGTTGTTAATTTTGGCTTGCACTCTGCATATGTAAAGGAAAAGATCAGGACTTGGGCTTCTAATGCTAGAGCTACCCCCCATGATTTCCATCAGTTAGTGTCTGCAGTTTTAGATAATGGACCTTCCTTGATGTTTGGAATTTATTTCAGAGAAGAATCCAAACATATGGAACAGCAAGGAAGAGCAAAATGTGTCGAGATTTCCCAAGATCAAATTCTTGGTGCAGGAGAATATGCTGATCCACAGGTCCAAGCTCTTTATGACGATGAAGTACTGTGTCTATGTCACCAAGCAGCCTGGAATAGGATACAAGATACAGCAAAAAAAGGTTGAATCATATACCAGAATTAGGCAGGGACAGAGAGAACCCTTTATTGACTTTTTACAAAGATTAATTAAGGCTCTGGACATAGGGGTAACAGACCCAGAAGCTAGATGAACACTTCTTGAATCTCTAGCTTTTGAGAATGAAAACATAGAATGCAAAAAGATAAATGGGCCTTTAAAGTTTAGATCAGCACCTATGGATGAATGGATTCAGCATACGATGAATGTTGAGACGTTTAGCTATAATGATGAATCTTGGGTAGGAGAAGTGATTTCCAAAGCAATGAGGAGACATCAAACTGCCAGGTGTTTTAATTGTGGTAAGTTAGGACATTTGCAAAGGGATTGCAGCAAAGAATTTCTAGGAATAATATCTCTTCTGGGAATGACAAAAATAAGAGACCTCGGCCTTCAGGTATATGTAGGAGATGCGGTAAAGGCCGACATTGGTCCAACGAATGCAGGTCAACAACAGACAGACGGGGAAACCTGATATCATATCAGGAAACCCCTTGAGAGGCCTCTTAGAGGCCCCCAAGCCAACAGTGGCCCAGTCATTCCCAGTCACAGTGGAGACAATGCCTCACCAAGAAAATTAAAAGCTCCAATTTCTGCTGTAAAAAGTAATACATGATGAATTACGCTTGGAGGATGAGTAAAAAAAAACCCAGTGGGACAGAGTAAACGTATATTTTGGCAGACTTCTATTAATGATAAAAGACCAAAGCTCAGAGTCTGTATAAATGGCACTTTTATTGAAGGCTTATTAGACAGAGGTGCAGATGTAAGTATCATTACTCCAGAATCTTGGCATCTGAATTGGCCTCTTCAAGAGGTAGATGTTCAGTTCCTGGGAATTGGAACCCTATCTCGTGTAAAACAAAGCACAAGCTGGGTTGAATGCATAGGGCCTGAAGGGCAAAGAGGAAGACTAAGGCCATATATAGGCAATATTGCAATAAATTTATGGGGCCATGACCTGCTATAGCAATGGAATATCCAGATTAACATTCCTGTAGTTCCAGGAACTCATTTTTCTGGGAAAGATATGATGAAGTGTTATGGGGAAAGGTCACCAGCCATTCAGGCTGTACAAGAACAGCAAATACCAAACCTTTAGAGGTACAAACAGCCCTATCTTTAAAATGGCTAACTGAGAAGCCAAAATGGATCAAACAGGGGCCTCTAGCTGAAGATAAATTACAGGCATTGGAACAGCTGATGCAAGGGCAACTAGATGCTCACCATATCGAAGAATCAACCAGCCCTTGGAATTCTGTGTTTGTTGTAAAAAAGAAATCTGGTAAATGGAGAATGGTGACAGATTTAAGAGCTGTCAACAAAGTAATTCAACCTATGGGCCCTCTACTATCTGGAATTCCTTTGCCTTCTCTGTTACCAAAAGGATGGCCTGTTATAGTTATTGATTTGAAAGATTGTTTTTTCACTATACCATTACAAAAAAAGGATAGAGAAAAATTTGCCTTCACAGTGCCTACTTATAATAATTCTCAGCCTAATAGGAGATATCAATGGACTGTCCTCCCACAGGGTATGCTCAATAGTCTTACATTGTGCCAATATTTTGTAAGTAAGCCATTGGAAATAATTCGTAAACAATTCCCCAAATCCATAATTTATCATTACATGGATGATATCTTGTTATCTGATACAAATAAAGATACTTTAGAAAGGATGTTTGAAGAAGTAAACAAAGTCTTGCCTAGGTGGGGATTACAAATTGCCCCTGAAAAGATTCAAAGAGGAAAATCTATTAATTACCTAGGTTATAGGATAGGGTTAGAGAAAATTAAAACGCAAAAGGC